ATATACCACGGTCAACCATCAAGTATTCAATTCAATTTTTCTTTTTTTTTTTTACAGGTTTAAGGCGTTCTGCCACACTGCATTGCTAGAAATTTTGGTTTCCATAACCAACAGGTTACCCAGAACTCTATAACCGATTGCTTTGGGGCCAATTTTGCGACGACCTTATCACCGACCCACAGAGGTTCAAGGTCGGCGACAAATCGATCTAGATTCATGAATTATGGCTTATCAGGGTCAGCTGAGGTCTTATATTTCAACAGACCAATCACGCACCAAACCTTTAGTTGTACATTCGACTTCGCTTAGTGATTTTCAATAACGTACAGGATGTGGGGTCATTACTCCTACTTCCGAATATATTTTTTGTAGATTAAAATATGCAATGGAATATAAATTTTTTTACTTCCACAGTAAATTAAACAGTATTTTTAAAAGGTATTTTTTTAGTATATCATATAATGTTATGACCAATTAAAAGGATAAAATAAAAATATAATAAAATAATTTTTAATAATTATAATTTTCCATAGGAATTTTTATTTGTTGGGTACCTGGCTTTACTAGCCTTTCATCTCTAAAGAGATAATTATACAGAATATAAGTTACTTACTCGTGATTTGGCCATGATAAATAGTTTATTCTACTATGCTAGCTCAGGTGAGAAGGGGTTAGGTTGGATATTTTTTTATAAAGCAGCAAGAAAGGTTAAAAGATCTATTTACAGAAAGAAATATTTACAGGATTAATACTATGTACAATAAAAAGAAATAAAATACAAGGAAAAAGAGGGAACTCAAACATAATTACTGTATACAATTAAAGTTAAAAAAAGAAAGATATTTAAGATAATAAAGATAATACAAATAACAAAAAAAAGATACTTATTTTATATACAATATTATGGTATACCACATCCAAACATCTAGAAAAGATAGTCAAGATACAATAAGATGTAAGAGTACATGCACGTGCTAAAATATGAATTAGTCATCTCTTAAGGAAACAAAAGAGAGTAGATTTTGTTTTGTTTCCAGTGCTTTCTTAATGTTGGTTACAATGTTTTTTTTTTTTTCATTTAAATAATCAACCTTTCCTAATCCTCTGTTTATTCATACGTCAATAAAATTAATTTTAGGATTCATTGGTTTATTATCAAGCTCTCTATAAATAAATAAATTATAAATTTTAAAGAAATAATGGAACGATATTTTAATGACGCAGAATTCGAAAGTACGAGGGGAGTGTTCGACACATTTTTCTCCTCAATAAAAATACAGACGGGAAGAAGGATATCGTTTTGCCCTTCCCGCAACATTTTTAAGAAAACATATTAATTATCGAAAAACAAATTATCTAAATGAATGAATAAAATATGTGAACTAAAATCAATTAAGATATTAGGAAAAGTCTATTAATAATAAAATAATATTGAATAAAAAAACATTATGAAACCGCTTATGATCTAATTATCTATTTATGATAATGTATAAACAAAATAATGAAATGGAAAAATATTTAATTATTCTGGGACTGTTTTCCCTTTAAAAAAAAATATTAATATAGATGGTATGTCTGTGTGGTTACAATTAGATTATATATTTACAATAAGAGTCGACTAAAAATAAAAATACTGAAGAAGAGAAAGAAAAGAACAAGAAAATTGTACATATATATATATAACAAACTAAAATAATCTAAATAAATTGAGGTAGTCTCTGTGGGTGAGTAGATATTTCTCTTAAGTATATTTTACAATCAGTCGGATCGAGAAAGGAGTAGGTGATTAAAGAGGAGAGGTTTCAAAGAGGAAACTGATTGAGCGTGTTGAATATCAGCAGGGATGGAATTCCAGTGGGAGGCCGCTTGAATTGCAAAGGATTTGTCAAACGCAGCAGGTCGGTGAGAAGGAGGATAGAGGTCGGAAGTACGAGATCTAGTGGGACGGGATTGAATGGAGTATTTGAATTGTAAGTTGTGAAAAATAAAGGAGCGTCGATGAGTTCTAATAATCTGGTACAGAAACAAACCATGTTCACTGTAACAAACCATTTTTACTGTAAACAAAACATTCTTACTAATCATTTTTTTTTTCAATTAACAATATATGAAATATATAGTTAATGGAAGCATTGCGAGTGTGGAATATTTCGAATATGTATTTTCATAGAATATGATTAGGACGCCTTTACACGACAATGAATGCCAGAGTAGGAAGCCATAGACCTCGTGAGAGGCCGAAAACCAGATGGATAGATAGGATAAACAAAGATACGGCTGAGCTTCATGCAGCAAACTGGAAAGCTGTAGCCCAAGATAGGCAGAGGTGGAGAAGGCTGGTTCCATAATCTATATATACTATATTTTAGTATATATATATATATATATATATATATTATATATATATATATATACTAAAATAAGTCCATAACTTAGGTATGATTGTATTTCGGTTATATAATTTTTGTATTTTTTTTTGTCTACTTAAACATTCATTTTACTCATTTATTTATTTATTTTTTTCAATTTTATTCGTTCCAGTACATTTTAGTATTGTTTATTTATCTAATACTGTATTATTTATTCTAGTTTTATTCAATTATTACAGTTTTTTTTTAAAATTTATGTATTGTTTTACTAATTTATTATTTTATTTTATCTTTTGTAATTATTTTAAAGTACTTTTTCTGTTAAGTATCTACAGCTACACTTTGTATAATTAACCGCATTATGTTAAACAAAATATTTTGTACTAGTAAAATTGTATGATAATAATGTAATGCAAATAATATGCTCCTGCATGATGTATGCAGATTCATGAGAAATATACGCCTCTTCTTCAAAAGCAAAATGATACAGTTAACTTCTTTTTAACTTCTAAATCCATATCTGATCCTACTAATATCTGAAAAACAATATCTGAAACTATGACAAGCAATCACTGAAACGTTATACACATACTCACAAAGCACTTATTCCTTACATGGCACAACCCAACTTCTTAAGCGACATACTTCTCACACCAATTATTGAATAATAATTTAAGATATAAAATATGTGCATAAAATATTAATCCGTGGTACAGACCTCTTTTTTTAACATTAATTAACATCGGCCTGAAACTTCGTAAATAGTTTCATCTCATCGTAAACTACAACTATTTTATTTAAGAAAACTCTTGGAGATACTAAAAACTCGTAACTACTCATTTGCTTTCTACTTGGATCGTAAGATAATTTTATCACAAAATAGACATCCAAACGGCTCAATATTTTTGAAGGCCTAGCTTTTTCCTCGATTTCATGATCAAATTATCTTGCGATCCAAGTAGAAAGCAGATGTGTATTTACGAGTTTTTACTACCTAATTAAATAGACAATGTTTGCTGTCTCTAGATTGAAAACGCCCCAATTTCAAGAATTTTCGTAAATAAAATAGTTTTAGCTTACGATGAGATGAAACTAGTTTATGGAGGATGTTAATAATTCGTTAAAAAGGGTCTTTACCATGGACTATATTTAAAAATAAGTTTTATCTTGTCTATACACTTTAAAGGCATTATATAGAGTTGTTTTTTATGTTATTTATTCATTTTTTTAATTTTTGTAAGTTTTTATTTGATTTTTTTCTACTGTACAAAATAAATTTTATAGCAAAAAATAGCAATCACACAACTTTATTCTAACATTTGTAAGGTAATCTTGCCATAATCATGTAACCATTATTATGACTTTATTGTATATATAACATATATATACTAGTAGGCCCGTGCGAAAAATTCGCAGAGCATATTGTTATCAAATGCCAAATTAATAAGAAAGTAAAATAAATCAAAAGATAAAGAAATAAATTGTTACTTTATCCATAGATATAATAAACAAAGGAAACAAAATTAATTTAAATCATCATTTTTGTTTGGAACTAACATATTTACAAATTTCAATAAGCTGTATCTTTGCGAAAAATTGTCCGATTTCAATGATTTCTTTCGTAGACAATTAAGTAATGTTTTATAAAATCATGGGAATAACAATACTACAATAAACGCCAGGTTGTGTGGATTCGAACCCCATGCCTTGCGTTATCTCGAAAATAGTACGTTTTTGAGCTTAAAAACGCAGGATCCGATAGTTCCGAAGGAACTATACGGGTCTTGCTGTACGCATCAAAATCTTCAAGGTCCAATTTGTCCCGCATCGATCTACAGACCTACCACCGTTCCAGTATTGAAGCCTAGCAAAACGTTTATATCGACTTTATTTATTTTAGAAAGAAAAACAAAAGCGGAGAATACGATTCGCTAACCCCCCGTGAAATTCTGAATCCAACGGTAGCCCATTCATGGTATTTGAGCATGACAGGAGCTTATATTTGGTACAAAACCGATTTCGAGCCTTACTGTAATAATATATGTACGGATATAATTTCTAGGATTTTTTTATATATCTCTGTGTCTGTAAACTAATGAATTTTGCTGTCTCTAGATTGAAAACGCACCAATTTCAAGAATTTTCGTAAATAAAATAGTTTTAGGTTACGATGAGATGAAACTATTTATGAAGTTTCTGGAGGATGTTAATAATTCGTTAAAAAGGGGTCTGTACCCCGGACTATATGTGAAAATAACTTTTTTCTTTTTTATACCCTTTAAAGATAGTATATAGTTTTTTTTATGTTATTCATTATTTTTTTTTATTTTTGTAGGTTTTTATTTGATTTTTTTTCTACTGTACAAATAAATATTATAATGAAAATAGCAATGACACCGCTTTATTATAACATATGTAAGGCAATGTTGCCATAATTACGTAAACATTGTTATGACTTCTTGGGTTATATATATATATATATATATATATATATATATATATATATATATATATATATATATATAATTTCCAGGATTTCTTTATATATCTCTGTGTCCGTAAACTAATGAATGGGAAAGTACTGACACATCATTTCCTCCAGAAATAGATGTGAGGACGTCGAGAACGAGCATGAAAGATAAACTATATTTTCTCGGTAGTGCATTATCTACAACACAGAGCAGTGTTCACTCACATAAGACGAAGGTCGTAGTCATTATACAGTGAGGCCTCAGCTATCGAACAGGCATGGCGTTTCAACTCTTCGTCCTTGCGTTCGTCCTAGCAGCTGTTGTAGCAGGTATTGTAAAATATGGTTCCTATTGTAATTATTGTTTGTGTATTAACATCTTACTGGCTTGTGTATGCGATATTCGTCTGTCGATGGAACTAATGAATCGTTATATTGTGATTCTAACATTGTTGTAAGATATTCAACTTCTGATTTTACATAATTTCAGCAACATTCGAAATTTTTATTAAAAACCGATATTTAAGAGACAAGTACTCAGTCGAGAAAATTTTAAAAAATTGCAAGTAAAAAAAAATCTGGTGTGTCCACTCACACAACTTTCCTATCTACTTCAGAAAAGTATTTATATCTTTACATATGTTCATAAAACCAATTGGACTAGATTTATTTTCCTGAAAATTGATCAAAGAAAAGATTTGAGTACGATTTATTTGATAAACTACTACGTAAACTCGTTTAAGGCAGACCAGTATAAAAATTTCAATACTCACTAATATTGCTGATCAAAAACTTTTTGCCATAGCTTAGTATTGTCCAACAATAATTTCTGTAAAAAGTAGAGGAAATAGTGAAGATTGTGTGATGCGGGCAACAGATTTTCTTACTTCCACTTAGTCATCCAAAAATGACTTCTTTAGTCATATATGAATAAATTCTCTTATTCACCTCTATCTGACACCAAGATATGAATCCGTAATGTTACATTGTTTTTCGGTTTAGTAGTTCCCGAGAAAATCTTGGCACAGACAGACAGACCAATGGCTAACAATGTGTATTTCGGACCAAGGAGGCTCTGAAACGTATAGATCCGTCAAAACCGCATTTCGGAAATTTGACCCGATTGCAATACTTCCTTACCTAGTATAGGTAGGAAAGTAAAAAAAAATAAGAAATATCAAAGATCTGTTATTTTTAAAAAGTTGTGAAAAAGTCAATTTTCTGTAACATTGTTTCAAATTTAAACCAATTCTAATGATTTTTTTATCATGATTCAACTTGAACATTCTTATGTAAAATCATCAGGTAAACTTGTGGGCATATTCCTCCCACATAAACAATTTAGCTAAAAGGACCCCTAGATATTAAACTTGCCAATTTAAAACATTACTACATAAAACCAAAAAAACACTTTGGTGTTGGTGTTTCTACATATAAATAAATTCCACTTACTGATGTTCATTTAACAAAGAGTTTCCCTTAAATGCTGTTTCTAAGTTATGTGAAAACAATAAAATGGGTAGTTAATCTAATATTTTTTTTTACATCTCCGAGTATAAAATTCGCCTTTAAAATTGTAAATAAGCATATATTTGTGTGATTCCTATAAAAAATAAAATAATATGAATCTTGGTTTTTAACAGAAAGGATATATAAATGTGACACAAATCACGTTAAACTTTTTTTTATTGCTACTCTATTTTTTTTTCTTGTAATTTTAAGAATTTTTAATAATTTAACTTTTAAAAATTGTGAGGAAATGAGTTTTGATATTACTCATGTTTTGAGGTGTCTTTAAGTATATTTATCTCTTTATTTATATCTTTATTATAATATTATCTATATTATTTTCTCTCTCGCTCTCTTTTATAAATATGCTTAGTTTTAAACTTACATAGAGATTAAATAATTAATATAAATATAATAAATAATCACAGTTTGAGTTGAACCTTATTAAACAAAAATTGACTTTTTCTCCACTTTCTGGAAATGAAAGATGTCCGTATTTGTACAAAGCCACTCGTATAATTTAGTTAATATCCATATCAACATTGTTGATAAGTTTTTATTAATATGTAATTATAGTTTTTTTATATTACTAAGGATATTATTCATTGTCAGTTTTATAATTCAGTATTTGAGTACCTGTATTCTTATTGTATTTGACCTGAAATGTTCATCGATGTATGATTTTGGTGAACATGGTTCCTTAAGAATTTGAGATGTTTCCTAAAAGTTTTTGAACTTATTTGTATTGGCTTATTAAAAAAAAATGTTTGTTCAAGTTGTCAATAAAATTGATTATTTTTTACTATATCTAAAGATCGTCCAAAATTTTCATAAAAAAAGGTTTTAGTGACTAGTTCTAAGCCGAGAAAATCTTAAAGAGGAATGACTATAAAAATATAAATAAAATCTTTAATTACATTATTTAATTAGCTTAACATTTATAGTGATTTTTATTCGTTTTTTCTAATTAGAATCTAATAATAGCATTATTACAAATTTAATGGATCATTAACAATTTTTATTATATATATTTTTTTAAACAATAGTATATTAAACTGGAATAAGTAAAAAAAAAAAAATATATATATATATATATATATATATATATATAAAATAATTAATCACATCATCAAATTGAGTTAAAATTTGCAGTGATTTTGTTCATTTGTTATTAGTTTCTAATAATAGCATTATCAAAAATCTTAAAGGAAAAAATATTAAAACATTAATCACCTTATTTAACTTACTGTAGTATATATTTAATAAAGATTATCAGGGGATGATTCTATTGAAAAAAAAATGCAAATTTGATAACATTTTTTTCTTTCAGATTTTTTCTTTCTTAAAAAAAAATAATAATAAAAAACGTGAAAACTTTTTTAGACGCGTTATGCACTTTTTTTGTCGATAGTGAACTAGATTGAGCAGTCAGATTTTCGATGTGTAACGCTCCGATGAAGTTGGCAGGGGTCGACTAATATAAGAGTTTTTTCATATGTCTCAGAAACTAAAAATCAGACCTGCATAGTATACGCGAGGGAATTGTTCAGCATTTCATCCTCTTTGTAATTGGCTATTATTAAAATTGTAACTTAAGGAGACGCCGTGTTAGAGAGGCGAAAAAAAAAAAATAGTGTACAAAACCAAATGATCAGATTTTTTTTTAAAATATATCAGAAACTGAAAAGCAGACTGGTATTCTGTAAACGAGGAGAACGTTCAGTATTTCATCCTCTTTATAATGAGCTAATATTTATAATTCATATTTGATATTATTAATCTCGCTTTATTGATATTTTCACTTCTATCGTTTGCTCTAAAACACACATATTTTTTTTTTTCACTAATGGTTCTCTACTCTAAATGGACGAATGATAGTTAATTTTAATACTGATAGTTAATTGATTAATTAAAAACTATTTTTATCTGATTATGATAATTTATAATTAAATATAACAACATTAATTCTCTTATATATGAGCCAATATGAAAATTACATATATAAAAACATGAATACGTAATAACATTGAGCCAAGTATAACCTAAATGATTACCTTTTTTTTAAAAAATACTTCACTTTCACTAACCTTTATAAGACATATAAATTAACATATACTACTGCGATCGTGAAAAATTTCGAATTTCAACGGAAATATATATTTTTTGAGATCTCCTGAGTACAAATAACCAAGTCTTTTAAAAATGAAAATTAAATTCATATTTAAGGTTGCTATAGGTCCGGGAGATGTTACAGTAATTTTTTCGTCAAAATCATTTAGTACAATTTTTTAATTTTAATTTCCCATTTAAGTACTTTTAATTTTATTAGAAAAAAAAAAACGTAAAAGGAGAAATAGTAGTAATTTAAATGTATATCATACCTCTGGAAAGTCAAAAAGATATTCAGCCAAATAAGCTGTTATTACTAATATTATAATTTTGTACTGAAAATATTTTAGTTTTGTAAGTGTTTTTTGCTGAATCGTATATGCGTGAGGTTTATTTTCATATGGATTTAAGTATGTGTATGTATTTAATTATTGTCAGATTTTCAATTTTGATTGTGAAAAATACAGTATACTTAGTATTTCCCGTCAGTTTTTTAAAGTCTCTCGTTTCATTTTGACATTTTATTTAAATTTTGACGTTCATATTTAATCAAATATGATAAAATATCTCCATTTCCTTTTTTTTCTTTTATAAGCCAAATTCATTTATTATCAAGTATAAATTAAAAGATAAAAACATTCTTTAATAAAAGTTTTTCTTTCATTTTTGTTCCCTCGTGATTTCGTTTTAAAAACCTGGTTAAACTTACGTATCTCATAACTTTTTCTCACCATTCTACTTTAATAATTAATTTTTTTTCATATATGTAGCATTAGTTAATATTTAATTATTTAATAAATCTATTATCGAGGTTAAAATTATATAATTGTAGTAATCCTGTTAAACATATGTTTTTCCCATTTGTAAACAATGCTAGACATATTGTAAATTAACAAGCACTTTCTCACGTCTTCTGTCAACAAAGCACAATAAAGTAATTTTCAATGCAATATCGGTGAATCGTATACATTGTTTCGCCAAGGTTAAAATAAAATAAAATGTATCAAAGAAAATTCTATTTATTTTTCAAGGAAACATTTATTTTTCAGTCAATAACATAAAAGTATAAATTGTATTTTAACTAAAATTAACTGCAACAATTATGAAGCAAGTAATTACTTTTATGTAATTTTCTATTATATTATAAGACAATATATTGTTGCTTTATTTGCAGTAAGTCACTAAGTTTATTTTTGATATAGGTAAACTTTCAATATTTAACGTAAAAAAATAGCTTTCTGTGAATTTCAACCTTATTTATCTATTCTATAACACTGTAAATGCATAAAAAATGACAAAAACGTTTGTATAAATTATGTACTATTAATTATATATATATATATATATATATAAATTCTGATTTAACGCGAAAAGAAAAATTCATCATGCTTCTTATGATATAATTATTTTTATTTATTTATTTTTTTAATGTTTAAATGTTTCTTATTTATTGAAAAATATTACAATCTGTCTCTAGGACATTTATAATAGAGTTCACAGATCACATTCACACTCTATGTACAATAAATAAAATAAATTATACAGAAAAATAAGATATATACAATAAATAAGAATAAAATAACCTAAAAATAAATAAATAAAAAGAACACAATCACACCTATATACAATAAATTTTATTTATTCATTTTTATTTATGGTTATGAAATGCCTCTTTGAAATAAACCCACGATGTGTTAGATAATATTTCATTTAAAAGCAACAGTTGCACAACGATATGTTATACATGTACATACATACATATACAGATATTTTTTGACTCATAAGTAGTATTCAACATGAAAAACACCTTTTGTTATTCTTTTTTATGTAATTATCGAATTCTTTCGTATTTTATATTTAATCATTTTTCGTTACTACTAACAAAGAATAAAAATAAACCAAATTTGAAGTTGAAGATGCTTAAGAAGACGTTTTGAAAATTTGAAATTTAAGACCGGTTTTAATGAGGTCTATCTACTTAAATTAAAAAACATTTAATTTAATGATGATATGACGAGCTTAATTAAAATTAAAAGGACCATTTATGATGTAATTTTCAACGTAAATAAATTCAATAAAATACTTATCGATTTGATAATAAAGTACCAGTTTCAGTTACTTTAAATACGTGATTTTTAGTTTTGTATGAGTTTTCTTTTTTGAGTTGTATTGTTTACTTGTCTCAAAAACCTCAAGTTCGATTTAACCTTAATTTAATTTAACCACGTAATTATCTTATACTTCAATATTTCTTCTTCGAAAGATTTTTCTCAACTCGGCAGAGGTCGGAAATGTCTTCAATTCGACCAATCTTGACAGGAAATCCCCAAGGTTCAATATTGGCCTCTCTAGTTTACATTGTATACACTTACGATATACCTACTAAAGTTGAGACATTGACAGCTACTTATGCAGAGAACACAACAATTCTTACAAAACATTAGGACACTAAAAAAAGCCTCACTAACTCTATATCACTTACTTAAATTGCAAGATTGTTTAAAACTATAGGAAATTCGACTTAGTCAAATCCAAACATACAACATTTACGCTTCGAAAAAACACCTGCCCTCCAGCTTATATTGACAACAATAAAATTCCTCAAACGGACACGGTACTTTACCTTGGACTCACCTTTAACAGGAGGGTGAAATGGGACCCGCATGTAAAACTGAAACATTCTTTCATAGAAGTAGTTGTTTTGTTTTTAGGAAAAAGAAAAAAAAATAGTCCCCTCCCCCCAAATTAAATCTTGGGTCTACTAATGGATACTAATGAAGAGTAATTTAAGAAGTTTATTTTGCTATTTTAATTTTTATATAAAGTTTTCAGTTGTTTCTAAAAATATATAAACTTTTTTATATATTTTATTAAGCTAATTTTCCTTCTTGGCCTATTAACTAAAAAAAAAGTAATGTAATATATAATATATGAATGTATTTAAAATATATGAATAGAGGTAAAAAAAAGTTCTCTGATCTAATTTTACAATTAAAAAAAACTATAACACTTGGCTTACAATAGTACGAGTTATGAATGAGCAAGCGTACGAGGATGTACGAAGCTCGAGTATGAGAATGTGTCACAGAGCGCGCGGAAACACTAAACACGATTTTATATACATTTAAACTGACATAACAACAGGTTAATAAGAGAAATAGAAATAGAAAATAACCTTGTTCTGGGACAAAGTCCCTTTAGAATAACAAAATAGTATATAATTAAAAGACCACATCTGGCCAAAATAAAACAATAATAAAAAAAGAGAAAGTAAAGAAAATATTAGTTAAACAAGCTATAAATAAAAAAAATCTATAAACAAATCACTTAAAACATGATAAGACACTTAAAACTCTGTACAGTAGGAAAAACTATAATTATACACTTTTAAAAAATAAAATAATAAAAATACATTGAGTTCATCTTTAAAATAAGCTGTGTTTCTCCTAACAAAGAAAAGACAAATCTGACAATATGAAATGTCAGAGTATTTAAACAATGAATAATATCTAATCACATCATTATCTTATTGTAACTATAGGTACAAATGTATTAATAAAAGTAATAAAGAATAAATAAAAAGAAGTAGTAAGTAACAAAGAATAAAAATAATAAAAAAATAAACAATAGATGCATTCAGTGGCATTGAGAGTAGGAAGATATTCTAAAACCCCTAGTGAAGTTTACAGTATGGAATAGTAATGTCATTTGATGATGAATGATATAATAATAATGTATAATATCAAAAGTTTAGCAAGCATCTGACTGTTTTGGGGATAGGCATTAGAATAGGAAGGTTTTGAAAGTGGATATGGAGGGGGAATGCCGAATTTTGATAGGTAGGGAATTCCAGAAATTGACGGCGCGAGCAATAAAGGCGTTCTGGAATGAGGCAGATCTGTGTGACAGGATGTAGAGGTCAGAAGGTCGAGATCTTGTTGAAAGGGAATGGACTGAGGAGTTGAATTGGAGAAGGTTGTAGGCGTAAGAAGGACGATGGTTGCTGATGATTTGATAGAGGAACGTACCTAGGAAATATTGTCTTCGAATGGAGGGGGAGAGCCATCTTAACTCAGTGTAGTGGTGAGAGACATGGGAGTACCTCGGGGCACCGATAACAAACCTTTCGCAGCTGTTCATTAATCGTTTCAGTATATCACAGAGCTCCAACAAGAGGCCATCATACACCACAAAGCTGTAATCAAAGTGAGAGAAGATGAGAGAGGAAATATGGAGTCTACGGGTATGTTGAGGTAGGATATGACGGAAACTATGAAATAGTTTAAGGGTAGAAATTGTCCTACGGGAAATGTGAGAAATAATTTAGTTCCAGAAGAGGGTTTGATCTATGAAAAATCCTAAATTTTTAACAAAGGAGTAGAAGGAAATTATCTAGTCATTAAGGTGTAATATGGGAAAGTCGTGGGAATCAGACACGCGATTATGACATAACCTTGAGGAGCATGAGGAGGAGACTAAGAGGGTGTTGGATGAGAGATCTCTTTTCTTAATCAATCTATGTAGTTGAAACAGGTTAGGGAAGAGGTGCTGTTGTGTACTGCCCTTCTTCATGATTGACATGTATTTCAGAACATTTGATGATTTTCAACAAAACGTTGACAGGTGTATACATATTTTTAAAGCCAAAAAAAATATATTGAACTATTGTTTTATGAATTGTCTTTTTATAAGTTAACCGAGCCAATGAGTGAGGAAAGATGAACGATCCATCCCAAAGAGATTAAATTGTATTTGCAATGAGGCATACGCCGCCCGACATATTTCCACTATGAATGGTGAAATGATTTCCATATGCAAATATCAGGGTCGCTACGGAATGGCATTATCTCACAGATCGGGGATGGCGGCCATATTTTGTTGAAATTCATCATTTTGAGATTAGTATCCGTCAGTTATGACTAACTACCGACTGGATTAAGGAGCATAATCTGACAGGACCATTTGTGCAACTAGTTCGGGCGCCATGTTTTAATATATCATTTATTTCAATTGCATGTATTAATAAAAAAATTAAAAAAATTTTCTTATATATTATTTCTCAAATATATATCCTCTCCTCGGCTGTCAGGAGTGATGGATTTTGACGAATGAGGTATCAATAGAATGGGAATATCAGGTAGAGTGTAGAGAACAACTCGAAAAATAAATTCTCTACAAAACGTAAAACAAAAATCATTGAAATCGGAAGATTTGGTGCAGTTATAGCGTTCTGAACATTTAGTATTTGTAGTACTGCAAGAATTCTTTTGTAGATGGGAACTGAACCTTGTTATCCTAGGTACAGTTGGTAATGCAACAATTTTATTATTTTTTAAATCTTATTTTATTGAGAAAAAAATATATTTTGCCTCGATCAAGATCCATTGAGTATTTGAGATGCGAGAAACTCATTCATACAATATATACAATTACAAAAAATAGTAGAAATTATAACAAAAATAAGAGAAAGAAAAATTGGTAAAACAGATGAATTAAAATATGATACAACAAATAAAAAAAAAAAATCAGTCATGGAGGGAGCTTCAAGTCGGGCCCTTTTCCCCACGTATGGAAGATAAGACTCTAAGAGATCCCAGCGCTTCTCTCTCAGCCGTATCACTGAGATGGGGATCCAGTGGAGACTGAGAAAGGGCGCTAAAGCCACAACCCTCATGACTTGAGTGGAGAAGTTGGCCATTGCCAGTAGTCGAATGACATATTTCCAAAAGATCTCGAAGCCGCTACCTTTTTAACCTTCGAGGAGGATTGTAGGGATGGATGGAGCTGGATAAGGATTGTGCTTAGGGATTAGGTTTCGTTGAAAATTTGAGAAACGGGATGGAATAACGTCAAGTATATGTACTTATAATAATAGTCCTTATTATGGTCATGTATATGAGTCTTTTGTAATTAATTGAAAGGTTGGAGTGTTTGTCTAGTAAGTGCTGGAGTAGTCGGAAACGTCGAGTGGTTTTTTGTCGTTTCAGTCTTTAAGAGGATTCCAAGATAGACATTTGTCCTATTTGTTGGAGTTCTAGGTATCGGATTCATTCAACAGGGATAAGTGGAGTATTATTAAAGGATACTGTAGACAGGAAATCATAGGTTGACGACTAAGGGTAGAGGTAATTTGATGTGATTTATTGGAATTTATTTTAATTCTCCTGTTTTGACACCATTTTTCATGATTTGTGATGTGGGATTGAAGGATTTGTGATCTAATTGTTGGGTCGCTATGAAGTGATACACTTAAATTTAAAAATAATACTGTCGTAAAAATAGTAGTTTTGTCGTAAAAATTACACCGAGATTTAAAATCTTTATATAGTTGTATTATTGTTATATATTACGCCTAATTTAAAGCTATCTACAAATTGAATAAATAAAGAATATTATTTATCTATTTCAGGAGATGAGAGCGATGGGCCACAAGTTCTGGATACATTTACAATCGATTTGCCAAAGGTAAGAGATATATTATTATCTTAACTAAAAACAAGAAATCAATTATATATATCTATTTAAACTTACAAGTTTGGACTTCGCCTTAATAGTTATAATAAAACCACATATTTGATCAACAGTCCTACCATATTGTTTTTTTACACCAACGTTTCGGCCCTTAGGCAATTTTCAAGTGAAGAAACCTTTAACAAATAAAACAACCGTCAAAGGCTAATTATATTTGCTAATTAACTATTTTCATTTGTTACTTTATTTTACTACTATTTTAATAATCATTATGGGCTGCATTTCTAAAACCTTCCTCTATAAGGTTATGTTTATTTTGAAAACTCATTACAATGTCAGAAATCCCATAATTAATAGTCTGTGGTACGCACTCCTTATCAAACATCCAGCTGAAGCTTACGTAAATAGCTTCATCTCATCGTAACCTACAAATATTTTATTTACGAAAATTCACGGAATTGTGGCGTTTTCAATCTGAAGATCGGCAAACTTTCTCTATTTAATTAGGTAGTAAAAACTCGTAAATACCCATTTGTTATCCAATTAAATCATGAGATAACTTGAGCAAAAAGTCGATGAAAAAGTTGGCCTTCAAGTTTACATTATTATAAATATCTTTATTTATTCCTAAACTAGTTCATAAATATTACATTAAAATAAATACAATCACAGCTCTCTTATTAATTCGCGATTTAAAAAAAAAAAGATTTCATTCATACAAATTCAATTTTACAATTATCACTTTTACCCTTCGCCGTAAACCTATGATTTTCTCTCCTACAGTATCCTTTGATAATACTCCACTTATCCCTGTTGAACAAATCCGATACCTAGGACTCCAGCTGGACTAACGTTTCACTTGGAATCCTCATAGCAGACTTAAACGACAAGAAACCGCTCGACGTTTCCGACTACTCCAGCAATTACTAGACAAACGATCTAAGCTTCCAGTTAATTACGAAATACTCATATACATGACTACAATAAGACCTATTTGCACTTAAGGAGCTGAGCTCTGAGGTTCCACAAAGCCATCGAATTCCTCTCGCATCCAGAATCCTTACAATCCAAAATCCTTCGTAAAATCCTTAATGTTCCTTATGATTCTGACCTGTCCCAATCCAAATACATATCCTTCCATAACAAACCTGTAAACTATTCAAACCCTCTCGTTTCTAAGCTTGCTTCCTCCTCGATACCTGATAACCCTCCGAGGCATCTGAAAAGAAGATGTCCTCGAGATCTCCTGTTGTAAATACATTTTTAGAGTTATACCAGTGGGTAGTTTTTCAACAAATGGTTTCATGTTATAATATTCTTGTGTTCACATTTACTGAATGTTTTTTTAATTTCTAATACCGCGGTAAATATCATAAATAATAAAAAAAAATTACAATTGATTTAAACATTCAATTTAAACTCAATACACTATTTTTGTATTTAAAATTAAACATAAATTATTCTAAAAACATACCTGAACTACATACTACTCATTATTTTTTTCATTTCTATTTATTTATAAATTAATTTTGCTTATTATTTCCCCATAATTCGGACCTATCTGATCTGAATCCGCTTCGAAATTAACAGCATAATTTATGTTCTCTGTAATATAAAAAGCTACTAAAATTTTTGTCTTGATTTTTTTTTTTTTTTGTAAAATTTGAACCTTCTCAAAGTCAAATTTATGTTCTTTATTGAAAGCATGTTGTACCAGTGCGGTTTTTTTATTTTATTTTTTCATTTTTTTTTTTACATCGTTCTAATAATGGTACATTATATCATTGATATATTGGTTGGTTTCTCCTATGTATATTGCTGGACCATTCAAAGATAGAACCTTATATACTTATTCCGCTTGATAATTGTTTTCCAATTGTATCCATAAATTACTTTAAAAATTTTTAAATAGTCAGTTATTATAAATATATGTTGATTTTGATCTGAGATCGAAATATGTCATCAGCATCCAAAAAGAACAACACTATTTCGAAATTTATCATGTTCCTTTCCTCAGTTAGATCCTGAAATGGAAAAGTAAAAACGTGTGGGAGAAAGAATATGACATTAGCTTGACATTGAGAGTAAAATTATAATATTAGATGACTCAGATCCGGCAAGGTCGAACACTCAATCGAAACAGAGTATTGTAAAGCAGCTATTGTTTGAAAATATACTCAGATAAATATTGAACTGGTTTCAAACATAATTTATTCTAATTAGCGGTTTTTATTATGGCATATTGCATTATATCGCAAGTGAGAATAATACTTATAGTGATGAAATAGTACAATCAGACCATATTTCCATAAAATGTAAAAATATAAATAAATAATGGAAAATTAATCATAATTACTAAGAGAAGTAATAATAATAAGACTTATCGAGCCCTAAGGTTCGATGCCGACACCACTAATCGTTGTCGACACACTTTCCTCCAGCGGTCACCATCTAAACCCAAGATTAGGCTTAATGCAATCTTCCCACCTTCGCTTCGGTCAATCCCTCTGACGTTTACTAATTAGTAACAGCAAATATTAATCAGCATGGATTTTTTCGTTACCAAGTCGAGCAATTTTACACGCCCATTTTATTCACCGCAAAGTAATGACTTTAATTATAGGAACTGGATATAGTTCACTAAATTCAACGTTGTGTAACCGCCTGAATTCTCCGGTTGACTCATCCTTCCTTTGACCCCGAATATTCTACGCAATAGTTTATTTTCAAAAACCTTAAGACATTGCTCATCTCTAATGTAAATGGCCACATTTCACATACAATAAGAACATTAGGTATGATAATGGTTTTGCAAATTCAAAACTCAGAAACAAATAGAATATATTCCTAACTCTAAATATACTATATTATTTTGATAAAACATGGTTTAAAACTTAATTTAGCTTAAACAATACTCTGACAGTAAACACTTATTTTACTGATATCCAATTTTATTTGAAATTAAAATAAAATTGTTCATTCTTGTTTCATTGTAATGAACAAGGCCAATGGTTGTAGAAGGGGATGATCGGGCTAGTATCACGCTCAACCGCCAGGTTTTCACATTTAATTTAAATCACCCACATTATAGAGGATGATTATAACCCAGAAAGATCTCCCGACCCCAGGGTCGAACCATGGCTGATGAAAAAATACTTGAAATCAGCAGGATTTGAACCCTGAATCTTGAGCTTAGTAGCCCAGTGCCTAACTTACTGAAATACTCCGTTGCCCATCAAAATAATATAAAATTTTAAGTTGATAGATGATAAAATAAATTATCAGTTTTAAAATGTATACTATATTCTTTAAAAACACGTTTTATATTAATACATTTTTAATTAAGTCATTTATCCACAGAAAATATAAATTGGCTTTCAACAGATAATGTATAAAATAATGAAAATTATATAGATTCAATACGTATTGTTTCGAAGCATCCTTTGAATTCTTCTTTTTTTTTTTTTTTTTTTTAATTTCCACAATAAAAGAAGCGATAGCGATGCCTAAATGAATCATCAATGATATTTATTCTCTTCATGAAAAAAAAAGTTTAAAAGGTTTTATATTAAAATTATTATTTAATGTTTTTAATAAATACTGAATTAAATAACACACACACACACACACACACAGATATATATATATATATATATATATATATATATATATATATATATAAATATTATGACCAAAAAAAGAATAAAATAAAAAGATAATAAAATAATTTTTAATAAATATCATTTTCCATAGGAATTGTTTTATTTTTTGGGCACCTGGCTTTACCAGCCTTTCATCTATAAAAAGATAAATCTAGAAAACATAAGGTACTTACTCATTATAAATATTTACTCTACCATGCTAGCTCAGGTGAGAAGGGGTTAGGTTGGATATTTTTATAAAGCAGCAAAAAAGGTTAACAGATCTATTTATAGAAAGAAATATTTAGAGAATTAATACTATGTTCAATAAAAAGAAATAAAATACAAGAAAAAGAGGGTATTTAAACATAATTACTATATACAATTAAAGATAAATAGGAAGATATTTAAAATAATAAAGATAATACAAATAATAAAAAAAAAGATAATTATTCTATATACAATAGTATAGCATGCCACATCTAAACATCAAGAAAAGATAGTCAAGATACAAGAGATATAAGATGTGAATTATGAATAAATATGAATTAATAATCTGGCAGAGGGAACAAAAGAGAGTTAGAGTTTTTTTTTTTTTTTCACTCCTTCCTTAATCTTGGTTACAATATATATATATATTCGTACATATGTATTAAAGGGATCGGAAAGTAATATCGTTTCTGAGCATACCAATATTTGATCGCCATTTGTCATTGTTTACAACTATGTCGTGGCAAAGACATTATAGGATTACAGTGACTTCTTTAGTTGCAAAAAATTAAATTAACAATTTTATTTTATGTAATTTTTGGTGAAATGGCAAGATAAATAACTGAAGAGGAGTATATCCGGATGCTTCTTGACTTTCGTAAGGGTGCTTAATGCGACAGTTGCTACAAAAACATTTGCGATATTTATCCAAATAGATATATAAATATTTGCATTGGCCCAAAGCACTCTGAATCAAGCTTTGTCCCCCAAATATGGAAACCTTGTAGATTAATAGTTTGTAATGAATTGAAAGTTGAGATTTTCTGTTGAGTAGTCCATATAGTTGGCCATATCGTCGGTTAAGCTGTTGTCTTTTAAGTCTGGTATGTGGGTTCCATGGTAGTCTTTTGTCTAGAAGGAAGCCGAGATACCGAACTGTGTCAGAGAGGGAAAGCAGTATAGATTTGAGTGCCTAAGTGCAAAAAGATTTGATAATTTGAATGATGTCCAAAATGCCATCTTTATATATTTTGCCCAAAACCAATTGATTTTTATAGATCCTGCATTGAAAATTTTCATACTAGGAAAACTGACCTGGTAAAAGATTCTTGATAATGAGGGTTACTCCATAAATGATTAAAAATAAAAACTCATGTGAAATCTATGTTTTTGAATTTAATCTAAGGAAACGATATTATTTTCTGGTCCCCTTAATATTTTTTCGAATATGAATTTATTCAGAAATTAAAAAAAATAAAATTAAACAAATAAAGAGAAATATAAATTCTAACAAAACTCATATTGAAAGGTATAATCCATTCTAATTTTAAGTATTAATTATATTATAATAATTTATTATTAACTAATAGGCCCGTGCGAAAAATTCGCACAGCATATTGTTATCAAATGCCAAATTAATAAGAAAATAAAATAATGCAAGGTATCAAAAGACAAAGAAATCAAATGTAACTTTATTGATAAATATAATTGACAAAGAAAACAAAAATTAATTTAAATCTTCATTTTTGTTTGGAACCAAAATGTTCACAAATTTCAGTAAGCTGTATCTTTGCTGAAAATAGTCCAATTTCTATGATTTTTTTAAAATTTTGTAGAGAATTTAGTTATCTTTTATATAATCATGGGCATAACCTAGGCAAAACTGTGTAATTTTTTAGTTATTCACAAATAAAGTTTGTTTTCTTTTATAACTTGTTTCCTGAATTGGCCTTCGAAATTGGTGGCTCAATCTTGAGATTTGGTGAAAAGTATGATAAAACTATGATATAGCATACCGATCAAAAACAACATCGATAAATAATATATACTCCTCTTCTCTCGATCATAGAGACCTCAAGTCGATGAAATGAGCCATTTATTCAATGACAGTACCACAATTAATGTAAGGCTGTGTGGATGCCTTGCGTTATCTCGAAAATACTACGTTTTTGGAATTAAAAACGCAGAATCCGATAGTTCCGGATCTTGCTGTAAGCATCAAAATCTTCTAGATGCAATTTGTTCCGTATCGATCTACAGATCTACCACCGTTCCTGTATTGGAGCCTAGAAAAATGTTTGTATCGAATTTATTTATTTTAGAAAGAAAAACAAAAGTGCAGAATATGATTCGGCCAACCCCCCGTGAAATTCTGAATCCAACGGTACCTCATTCATGGTATTTGAGCATGACAGGGGCTTATATTTGGTACAAAACCGATTTCGAGCCTTATTGTAATAATATATGTGGGGATGGGGATGGGAATAAATTATATAAAGTATTAATTTGATCATGTATTTTATTTTAAATTTTTTTTTCTTTTCTTGTTATAGCCACCATCTTACCCAGATACTCCTGAGAAAAAAACCACTTATTTCGCTGGTATAAGTTCCACGGTGTGGATACGTAAGTCAAATTTCATAAATTTATTCACTTTTAGTCTATTTTTTTCTATAATATTGGAAATGGCATAAAAATATATTTAAAAAAAATAGGTTTGTTCAACATTTTTAACTGAATATTTCTGTTGCTGAAATCAATCAGAAAATATATCATTCTCGATAAATACTTGTTAAATTATTTTTTTGTTTCAATCCTGACTGTTTTGTGATTAACCGTTTCGAATCAGTCATGACTGAGGCACAGCTGGGGGATTTCTCGACTGTTGGATGGATTGACGAATGTAAAACATCTGTTTTTGTTTCATGAAAAGGTTCGAGGAAAAATTAGGAGGAAAAATTGGGAATGATGGGAGAGAATTTCCAACGCCGGCTCCAGCTTAGCAGCCGTCCATAATTCAAGCAGAGCTTAACTATTTAATATTTATGGAATATCGTAAAACGAAAAGAAAGCTCTGATCTTAACTTTTACTAAACGAAATTTTAATTGTAAATTTATTCATGTATAAATTAATTAACTATTACTTTCATAAGAAGAATGATGATATATAATGTATGATAACGATAATAAACATCGTCGAACACAATATGAAATCGTGTAAGAACAAGAAATCTTTATTTAGAATTATTTTATATTTTGAGGAAGGAGATGGTCCGAGGTGACGGTCATAAATAGAGTTAATAGTGGCTAAATTATTTTATTAAAAGCCAACGTTTAGACCCGACTTTGCAGGTCTTCTTCAGGGCTAGAACGGACAAGATACAAAAATATATAGAGAATTGTGGAAGTTTAAAGTGAAGTATGCAATTGTGAATATACTACTGCAGTTTTACAGAAGAGATTTGAAGAAAAGGAAAAATTATATAACATGAAACAATGGATATAAAGGATTGTGGAGAAAAAAGATAACCACAAACGAAAAATAAGTAAATACAATTAGAAGAATAAAAATAGAGACTTACAGGTGGGAGTTTCACTTAGAACTGGAAAATCAGGGTAAGGGTAGGTATTGGGGAAATTTGTTGACCTGTTTGGATAATAGAAAAAAAAAAAAAAAACTGCAATATTACAGTATCTAGAAATTTGAAGATATGGATGGATACAAGGGAAAAATACTACATTAATGAAATAATAAATTATAAATAAATACATATACATATAAAATAGAATTTTATTTTCTTCCAATCTTTAAATCAAGCATGATTTTTGAATTACAAATCCAATATAATAATTATTACATGATTTTGTGGAAAAAATAATTATCAATTTTAAACCCTGATTAAAATGTAATAAAATAACTTTTTAGTATTTTTAGCTCAAATCGTTTCCAAATACTTATGAAATCTCACTGATTAACACGAGCCATTAAAATGGTAAAAATATTCGATCATTAAAATTGTTAAATAAAATTAAATCAAGACAACCATTTACGTCGCTGTAAACTCAGGGTCATTAGAGAATAAAAATATTTTAATCTATTCTTAACGAGACCTGTTTATATTTAATATACGAAATATTTATTCTAAGGCACGAGAGCCATTTTGACATTGAATGGCTCAGGATTTAGTTCATTTCCTCTAGGCCAAGTATGTACACGTATTATTTACTCCATCTTTGGTCGTTATTATTATTAATTATTGCCTTCATCTAATGTTTATGTGGATTATATCGGGGTATCTACCTAAATCTAGAGATTTAGAATTATATGCGTCCCCCCCGTAGGATTATTAATTTTAAATAATTAAAAAATTAATTCATGTTCACCTTTTGAGATTGGATGGCATTTTATACTCTGCATGTTTAATGTTAGTGTATTAAATTATTGTTCCAGTATTTTATTTTTTTGTAAAATATATTTTAATTTGAAAAAATCTACATGAATCGGTAAATTCTTTCTCTCTTAAGGTAATGTTGTTTCGTATCAACTTCAACACCTCATAGTCTGTGGGCCAGACCCCCCACATCCCTATAAATTGCATATCGTTGTGTTCCTTGTGACAATTTATTAAAAAAAAGCCAATGTTCCCACAAAAAAAAGTGAACGAACTGCCCCAAAATGGCGTCCAAACATGGCGGATTGACGACTTTGACTTTAGTTAGTTTTTTTGTTACTGAGAATCAGCATTTGGCTTAATTTCATTATAGTTGGTCTTTTATTAAAGCTGGATAGTCAGAGAATAATAAAACATGAAAAAATATTAAAAACTAATTGGCTTAGGCATTAAAAAAAATCGGTAAAGTCAATTTTTTTTACAAAAAAAATTTCAAGTTGAAAATCAAGCGTCGTTTGTAATTAAACGGTCAACAATAATGCAAAACGTGCTGAAATAAAACATCTGGAGAATACATTTCTCTTTCTAAAACGCTGATTACTTTTTAAAATATTTGAAGTAGTTCCGTATAAAATGTACTTAAGCGGCAGAAAAGCGCTACTGGCGTGGGTGCCTACAGGCCTCTACCACACCACTCAGTACTCATAAATGGCTTAGTTATAGTGCTATAATAACGTTTTTGTTATATTTTATTGATTATATTAACGAACAAATATTAATACAATAATTTAATTGTAAAAAATTATTTTTTTTTAATTTATTATTTTTGTTTTTATTTTTCATCATTATTTTTTTTTAAATTTAACTTCATTTATTCTATACGGAGATCGCTTAAGAAGGCGTACAACTTCAATAGCAATCTAAAATAAAGTGGTTTACACCATTATCAACCTCGTTTACTTCCTCCAGACCTGCTTGCCAATTGCTTAGAACAAATCTTTCTTGCTGATGAAATGGTCTTCACCATAATAAACCTGCTTAATATCATCCAAACTGATCAAGCATTTTTACCTCCATTTAGCAGAATCTTGAAATATTCTGTTCATTTATCTACTATATATTCGTTTAGCCATATAATGGATACTGATCCTTGTTTTCTTTTCCGAAATTTTGGCACTGTCGTTCGCTTAATGTATTTTTCCAATGTTTGGGTTCAATTTCGCGTTTTCCCTCATTTTGAGACCAAATACTAACAATCAGTTCCAATTACATAGAAGAACTTATAGCTTCGCCCTTTTCATATTTCATTTGTGCAGAGGGAATAATGCACTTTAATATTAAAAGTTCCTATTTTTTATGATATGGTCCAACTTTCGAATAAAATAAAGGAAATAAAAATGTTTTCTTTAATAGCGATATATGAATTTTACTAAACAATCCATCACCTATTCATTAAAAGTAGTTCAGATTAGGTATATATTACTTTAGTTTATAAAACAGATATTAATATGACTCATTTCCAGGGAAGTATATACAATTTAAATTACCTCTAAGAATCAGTAAATATATAAAACAAAATGTTAAATTGGAAATATTAAATAAAAAAATCAAGATATTCTGCAAAGTATTTTTGAATTAAGTTTTATTATTATAATTTTTATAATAGAGGCCTTCTTAAGCGATCTCCGTATAGAATAAATGAAGTTAAATTTAAAAAAAAATAATGATGAAAAATAAAAACAAAAATAATAAATTAAAAAAAAAATAATTTTTTACAATTAAATTATTGTATTAATATTTGTTCGTTAATATAATCAATAAAATATAACAAAAACGTTATTATAGCACTATAACTAAGCCATTTATGAGTACTGAGTGGTGTGGTAGAGGCCTGTAGGCACCCACGCCAGTAGCGCTTTTCTGCCGCTTAAGTACATTTTATACGGAACTACTTCAAATATTTTAAAAAGTAATCAGTGTTTTAGAAAGAGAAATGTATTCTCCAGATGTTTTATTTCAGCACGTTTTGCATTATTGTTGACTGTTTAATTACAGACGACGCTTGATTTTCAACTTGAAATTTTTTTTGTAAAAAAAATTGACTTTACCGATTTTTTTTAATGCCTAAGCCAATTAGTTTTTAATATTTTTTCATGTTTTATTATTCTCTGACTATCCAGCTTTAATAAAAGACCAACTATAATGAAATTAAGCCAAATGCTGATTCTCAGTAACAAAAAAACTAACTAAAGTCAAAGTCGTCAATCCGCCATGTTTGGACGCCATTTTGGGGCAGTTCGTTCACTTTTTTTTGTGGAAACATTGGCTTTTTTTTAATAAATTGTCACAAGGAACACAACGATATGCAATTTATAGGGATGTGGGGGGGGGAGTGCACGGTAAGGGGGTCTGGCCCACCGTGTATCAGTCCTAGGTAAGTTGAGATCTGAGAATATTTAAACTTGGTCCAGTGGAGTACCTTACACACCACAACAAATCTCAAGAACGAATCACTCACTACAATCTTTGTAGTGAAAAGCACCCGACTAGAAGATAAAAATTATCAATCAATTATATAACAATTTTGTACCCACAAACCACACACCCTGTCTACAAATACATTTTTGAATCTAAATCTTCTACAAAATTCTAACAAAAGAATAATGCAATACTGCCATTAGCAGAAAGATTATAATGTAAAGCTAAAACCAATCAACTTAAATATAATTCAAAATGACATACCCCCTTGGACTTTTATACAACCTAAACTAAATCTACTGCTTTCCAAATTTAAAAAAGAAAATACGGAATCTGCAAAATATAAAGAACTATTCCATAAAACAATTAGCTCTCTTTCAGAACATTTACTAATATTCACCGACAGTTCTAAATCGGAAACATCAACATACGCTTTCGTCACACCCGATGCTATCTATAAATGTAAACTACATCCACTTTGTTCCATATATACCGCTCAGATTTATGCTAACGTGATGGATTTGATAAATTTGCCAGTTGTAAATGTGTTTGTTGTATTAGATTCTTTGTACGCCCTTAAAGCCACGAACAATACATATATATAGTATTTTGGGGCTCATAATAGAGCTAAATTACATTGGAACATTATTACATTTTAAATGGTCGTTCCGGTCATGTAGGCATTGTGGGAATGAAATGGCTGACAGAGCAGCAAAAGAAACTCTTATCCTTCCAGGACGTGGTAAAGCTTTCAGTGGTAAGGCTATATACCAAGATTGGCAGATACTTTGGGACAACAGCTCTCCAAATAAATTAAAGATGATAAAAAATGAAGTGAATCCATGGAGCAGTTCCAGTCGCAGTAAACGCAGATAGGAGGTTGTTCTTACGCGACTAAGAATAGATCATACCAGGCTTACTCACATAATTACAAAAGAAAACCCGTCCATTTGTCGAAAGTGTTGAGAAAGAATGACACCATATCTTCGAAAGTTGTCATTTTTACATCAGAGAATTAAACGAAAGAGGAATACCAGCAAATACATCGGATACTTTGAGAAATGATGAAAAAATCTTGAGTATATATATTTTCTCTCTGAAGAAGGAATCTTCGAAAATCTCTTAATCTCTCCCCAACTCTATTATTTTTTTCTTTTACTTTTACTCTTTCTTGTTTTATAATTGTTTTTTTTATTTATTTACTTTTTTAATGTGCTTACATTAAACCTAGCTTAAAATAACTAAACTTTAATAACCATTTACAACATTAACCTTGATGTGCATTTTACGTCTTTTTTAAATTTTATTATTCACAGAACCAACCAGAAGATATAATAAAATATGATTTTAATTAACGGCGTTGATGCCGAACAGGTTCTACGTCTTAACTATAGAACCAAGTAACCAACCTGAACATTAAATCAAGGATAAATTTTCATAGAGGCCTATTTCTCTAACAATCAAATAAACAGAAATCAGGAATTAATCACGAATCATAAACAGATATGATGTAAAAGCAATAAACTTTTAGAATATTTAAAACATAAAATAATTTTTTTTCCGCATTTCAAGCTTCAATTTCTTCAAAAAGCTTACAAGATCTTAACAAAAAAAAAATTGATTCATGAAACATCAAAATCGGTCCAGCCATACATTCAAAAAATCACTACATACTTTTTAGCGGACAATCCAAACACATAACACTAGTTATTGACGAATCCGGAGTGTAGAAGATATGTTAAGAAGCCATAATAAAATGTGAGAAAAGCTAAAATATAATGAATTTTTCGTTCAATATTTTGAACATAATTTTTTTCAAAATCCTCTAGGTATTTCACCTAAAGTACAAAGGTACTAAATAGCAGCTATTAAATGATTTCATTTGTTAGATAGTCGCAGAATATCCTTGTGAGAAACAATGTGTAGTAATCTAGAGACTTGCAGTCTCTTTTACGCTTGAGATAAATTCACGTAATGGGTTGGAAAATAAGCCCTTTCGGTTTTTCAGTGTGAATTAAAACTCAATGTATTATAGACATAAAATTTATTTTAATCTAAAACATATTTCCCATTATTTAATATGACTTTTTCCCATCTTTCCACTAACTGCATAATTTCGTGTTCAATAGAATGTCTGCAGTTTATTGCTGGGAAACTGATCCAAGTGTTTGTTTATGTCCTCTTCATTTTGGAATGTCTTTCCATTCATGAAGTTCAGCAGAGACTGGAATATGTGGTAGTCCCTAGGAGCTAGGTATGGTGAATAAGGAGGGTGGGGTAAAAAGTCCCTTCCAAGGCTTAATAATTCATTGCGATTGACCAATGAGGTGTGGGACCTAGCGTCTTGGTGGAACGCAACACCCTTCCGATCATTCATAACTCTTTAGGATGTTCTTTAAATTCGATGTTGCTATATCCGTTGGAAACAGGAAAAAGGATTTCTTTTAATTTAATACCTACATGAGGAATAAATATACAAAAAGTTCTTATTTTTATTTTTATTTGTAGTTGGTTTACGAAGGTCCCGTTGATGTCATTTTTTGTAGTTTATGTGGCCCTAAATTCCTGCTAAATTTCTTGTAGATAGTCGTATTGAATTTATAACATTTTTTGTGATTTTTGAAAAAAAACATGTGAGGAACCCAAACATTAAGCTTGGAAACATACCTTGGTTTTATACGTTTATGTGCAACATATTTAGGGCCATAGCGATCTCTCGCACTGATTGGGTACGATTTTGATAAACAGTGGCCTTTACATTGCTCGTTTCAATTTCGTTTGAACGACCAGATCGTTGAGTATCATTGATGTCAAAATTTCCTGAATGAAATTTGGCAAACCAATTTTGACAAGTGCGTTCGGTTAAGGCATCTCCATAAACACTGTACATTTCTCTATGAGTTTCTGCAGCACGCTTACCTTTTTTAAAATAATAAAACAATAAAATATGACGATAATGAACAATATTTTCTTCCATATTCACAGTACAATAGCAAACACAATACTAAGCTAGTTTCAACAAAATGTAACAGATATAGTTGTTGGCGTATTACAAAAAGGATAAACAATCCACCTTAGGTATTAAATCATCAGATAAGAAGTTTATCATAGTGATATAAAAATCAACAGAAAAACCGAAAGCACTTATTTTCCAACCCAATATTTTGCAGTTTCGGAAACTGAGTATGGCTGATTGGAAACCATTATCAGATAACAATATGTTCTATAGATAGACGGGAAATTAGATTATTTTAATTGAACTGATTCGTAACGACTCAATTATTGTAGTGAATCGATACTTATGAACTATTCTTCAATTGATTCTTTTTATATTAAAAAAGTTCAGTCCTTTCAGTCAAAAGTGTTGCGAAGGATAGTTGACGCACAGTTTTATGTCGCAAACGGTACACTACATAAAGACTTAAACGTACCTACGATTTAAGATACTGCAAAAGGGAAATACAATAACTTTCACCAAAGACTTACGTACGGAACGTTTCATGTCGCAAACGGTACACTACATAAAGACTTAAACGTGCCTACGATTTTAGATACTGCAAAAGGGAAATACAATAACTTTCACCAAAGACTGACGTACAACATGAATCCCCTGACAGAAATTCTTCATCGTACAAGAAACCCGTACAGCCCACTACGACGACTACGTAGGCGTTGACCAAGAGGCCTGCCGATCTGATTTTTATACCGGACGTCATGGGAAGCTGTGAAGCTGCCAAAAACTTTGGTCATTGCAAAGAAATTTACAGATTGCAAATTTAATCAAATGTTCTACATTTTTGTTTCGTTAATAAAATATATTTTAAATCATATATAAAATTATAATGACATCTTTAAATGTTGTACAAATGTATAATTTATAATTTATATTTCTGTTTACAGTGCTTACGATAAAATTGATCTTCATCGTCATCGCTCTGGCATCCTTGTTCATCTGGTGCAGGCAGAGAAACAAGAATAAGAAGTACACCGTTCACGTTTAGAGCAGAAAGATGGGTGGAAGAAAAACGAGGGGCTGTGAACCAACGACATCGGGAGTATTCATACATCTGTGTTATCATGCTAACGTGTTAAATGCTTAATGTGTTATCATATTAAGCAGTCAACACAAATTTTAAATAAATGATGAATGACTCTGCTTAAGTGTTATTAGTTGTAGTAAGGTATTTAGGTTGTATTGTAAACAAATATTGTAAGTTCTCCAGCTTGATTGATCAAAAAAAAAAATTAATTTATTTTCAAAATGCCTAAGCAAAATAAAAAGGTAAAGTTGTTTTTTTTTAATTATTATTTTCAATTTAAAAGTGTAAAATAGAAAAAGAAGACCTTAAAGATTCTAAATTTCCAAGGAAGAAATTGATTACTATAATAATTAAGGTGGCATAAAACAAAAAATATAAAAATTTCCTTAGCTATGTCCATCGCTGGTGTGTTTACTTTCTTATTGGTATTTTGTTTTTTATGAAAATTTATTTTTTTAATAAACTGTTATTTAGTTATTATTTTTCTTAATTTATTTATATTCTCTGTAAATATTGTGTGAATGAATTCTGCTCACAATTTCCAGTGTCCAATATTGTGACAGAATCTATTATTATTCAATAAAAGAATGAAGTGTAATGTTTTTGTTTTGTGAATTGTTATGTAATATTAAATGTATTATAATATTATATATTTTAAAATAAATTATAAAATAGGAATTAATTAATTTATTTAAGTATAGGAGCTGTGTGTGTTAGCAATATTGGGGATTATATAAATTAATTTTAATTTAATAAGTAATTCTTATATTTTTTAATATAAATTTATATGATCTGATTCTACAGTTTATGAATATTTGTTATATTATAATCTGAGGTTATTATGTAATTATGATTTTTTTTTTTAAAGTTTGTTCACACATAGGTTTTTTTTTTTAAAATAAGGGATATTTTATAGACTAAGATGAAAAAATGTGGAGAATGTAAGAATGTATATGAATATGATGAATTTTAATATTGGTTGTGCATATTTAAACATGTAAATATTAATAAAAATAATTTTAATACATAGTACATCATTGATATATACATAATTAATATATTCATATATTAAACTAGAAAAGATTATAACTATCCTGAATTACCCCTGGGGTATTGTCTACCGCTTGTACTTAAGAATATATACAAACAAGTTTTCAAATTACAATCGAAAAACAATAAGATATATCAGAATTTTTCACAATAAATTACATTAACTCTTTATGTATACTATGTGTGAGTACGTATATATATACGTATGGGTGTCTCAGGTGAAAGGTAATTTTATATAAAATTTCATTTGATGCATGGATATTTTTCGAATGGAAAAGTCCAATTTTGTCTGATCTTAAAGTGGTCACATTTTCTCTTTCATAGGAAGCGATAACACAAAAACCATTTAGTAAAGACAGTTTTACAATTACAGTAGCAATATCCGGCAAATATCAGGACAGGCATCGATAAGTTCGAGGTACTTATCTGTTATCAGTCTACGGCTGTGTGATAAATAAATAAACCGTTGATCACTTAATTCAAATTACGTTTTAAAGTCTTAATCCTTTTATTGCACTAGCCTTATTAATTTGTTATATTGTGGAGTTCTCAATTCACTGCTGCCGAAACTACTTTAAATGATGTAAATGACCATTCTAACGGACAAAAACGATCAAGTTAAAAAGGGAAACGAGGATATGAGAGCTTTGAAAGAATCGGTGGAGTGCTTTAAAATTGAGTTGAACGAACTAAAATCGAATTTAATGTTCCACCTTTATACAGCTGACATCCCAACCCATCCCAACACTATCATCACCACATATGCTGATGACACATGTATCCTATCAGTTAATAACGACCCATCTATTGCATCCCAAACCCTTCAATCCCACATCACAAACCTTGAAGAATGGTGTCAGAACTGGAGAATTAAAATAAATTCCAATAAATCCCATCAAATTACCTTCACTCTTCGTCGTAAACCAATGACTTCCTTTCCTTCAGTATCCTTTAACAACACCTCACTTACTCCTGTTGAACAAATCCGTTACCTAGGACTCCATCTGGACAAACGTCTAACTTGGAATCCTCAAACCAGACTGAAACGACTAAGAAACAGCTCGACGTTTCCGACTACTTCAACACTTACTGGACAAACGCTCTAATCTTCCAATCAATTATAAAAGACTGATTTACATGACTATAATAAGGCCTATTTGGACTTACGGGGTTGAGCTATGGGGCTCCACCAAGCCTTCAAATTTCTCTCGCATACAGTCCTTGCAATCCAAAATCCTTCGTAAAATCCTCAATGCTCCTTACTTTGTTACAAATAAAATTATCCATAATGACCTTAATGTTCCTTATGTATCAGATTTGGTCCAATCCAGATATCTGTCCTTCCATAATAAACTTCATAACCATCCCAACCCTCTTGTCTCTAACCTTGCTTCCTATTCGATTCCTGATAACCCTCCGAGGCGTCTGAAAAGAAGATGGCCACGTGATCTTCTAATATAGACATATTATTAGAGTGCTACCAATGGGTAGTTTCTCAACATGTGTTCCATGTCTTTATACCAATGTGCGAATTTACCAGATGTATTTTTTGTATACAGTTGTAAATATCATTTAAAATAAAATAATAATAATAAATGTTCCACCTGGACACACGACTCACTAGGAACCTCCATACTGAAACGACAAGAAACCGCTCGACGTTTCCGACTACTCCAACACTTACTAGACAAACGCTCCAAGCTTTCAATCAATCACAACCGACTAATATATATGACAATAATAAGACCTATTTGTTCTTACGGAAGCTTTGGGACTCCACTAAACCATCGAATTCCTCTCGTATCCAATCCCTACAATCCAAAATACTTCGTAAAATCCTCAACGCTCCTTACTTTGTCACAAATAAAACCATCCATAAAGACCTTAATGTTCCATATGTTTCCGATTTGGCCCAATCCAGATACCTATCCTTCCATAACAAACTGCAGAACCATCCGAATCCTCTCGTTTCAAACCTTGCTTTCTCCTCGATCCCTGATAACCCTCCAAGGCGTCTGAGAAGAAGATGGCCTCGGGACCTTCTAATATAGAACTTTAATTTGAGTTCTACCAATGGGTAGTTTCTCTTCATGTTGTACATATCGTGTTACCAATGTTACATTTACTTGTATTTTTCATGTAATACAGTTGTAAATTTCATTAAAATAAGTATTAAAAAAAAATAGAATTTAAAGTTTGTATTTGATTAATAAAGTAGTTGGAACAAATAAATAAGTTTTATTTACTTAATATAACGTAAATAAGTCATATCAATAAAAATCTTTAGGCATGAATATCTCCTAAACAAAGCGTTTGTGGACATACCTCCATAGGATTTCTTTTTTCTTGTTTTGAGGTCTTTAATTCATGTTTTCATTTTCGCAACCCTAAAACACCCTGTATATGACAACATATTTAGTCAGAATTCGAAATCGATCTGGAGATTTTTCATCTGTTTAAATCGTAAAATTTTACAGAAGGGACTGAAACAAGATAACAAACGAGCAAAACGTTTCTGGTTCGATTCCTCGCTAACGCGGTTAATTTGGCGTAAAAGGTTTAATTCCCGCTGAAAAGGAAGCTACAGACAGAGGGGGGGGGGCGGCCGTTCTGTTGAAGGGACCTCGGGGAGCCCAGTTAGCAACCGTAATGGATTTCATAATTTATGGGCTTCCAAATCTACTTCTGGGGGGGGGGGGCGCTAAGACCGAAATTTACGACGTTAACTAAGTTCATTGGTAATCGAAATAGGGCATTAATGAAAATAACCAAATCGTTTTATTAAAACTTTGTTAAGCTCCATATCAGTTTTAGATAACAACTTAGAATAAAGTTTAACTAAAAAATCGAAAAAAAATAAGGAAAAGGATTATATAATAAAAATATTGAGCTGTATAAAATTGAAACAACAAAATCTGGACTAAGAATTTATCTTTTCAAAGTTTTCAGGATTTTTTTTCCGATTTTTTTTCATTATGAAATGCTATTTTGAGTATTAATATTTAAAGACTTTGTTTTATTTTTTATTACGTAATTTAGCTTGACTTGGTTAAAATATTAAACTTTGAGTGCTTAAGTACATTAATAATAATAATAAAACATACCTGAGATGGTTGAGTTGATTCTTCCCCTCTCAAGTAAACAAATAACCTTTTGCAAAAGTGTTGACAAAAATAAAAATAATAATAATGCTTTATTTATTCTAAGAGTCCCTTTAGAATAATACAGAAAGACAAATATATGTGCTAAGGAGCCTCAGAGATACATGAACAAAAATATAGAGTAAATGAATAGTCGAAATAAACGAAATTATAAGTTACTTTCAAATTTAAATGAGTTAATAATAAAAAATAAACATGAAGTAAAACTAATGAAGAACGATCTAATAATTTATATACATATTTACAGTAGTAACTATTTACAATTTTATGGGGACTGGATGGATAAGAAATGATTGAACAGGCGGGATTTAAAGGTACGAAGGGTTTTGGATTGACCGATGTGGGGAGGGATGGAGTTCCATAGAGATAAGGATCGGATAATGAACCAGTCGAAATTGAAGGAGCTCGGAGATGTATGAAAGACGGTGGGATTGGATGACTTGAAAGAGGAAGAAAGTCAGAAAATACTTACGACAGTAGTTAGGATAAAGCCAGTTCAACTCTGCATAAAACGGGAAACAGAGGCGTCCCTTGGGATCCCGAATATGATAATTTTTATGATGATGATAATGATAATAATAAGGAATATATATATTTTTTTATAATGATTATTTTATTTAAAGTAGAAATAAAACTAATGGAAAGCTCTTGAAAACGAAACTATCTCAGAGCCCATAATAGCCACCATTAGAGAAATTGACCACAATAATGACTTCTGTGTTAAACTAGGGTTGTCACTCAAAAGGACTTTTGCAAGGATGCGGCCTTTCGCCTACCATTTTTAAAATTTATATTGATGTTGCTTTCATAGAGTGAAAAAGAAAATGGGAATAAGGATTGGGAAAATGTATGCATCATTAACCTGATGTTTGCTGACGATCAAGTAATCATAACCCAGGATAGAGGAGACATCAATTATATGTTCAGAAAGGTTCAGAAAGGTACTTCATCTGATGGCACGCCAATTGAAAGAGGTATAAAATCTGTGAAGAAATTTAAATATGTAGGATCAATATTTAATAGAGAAGGCACATCCACC